CCTTGTGTGTTCTTATCGGTGATTAATAAAAGGAGGAATATGTGTGTGTGGGCCTTTGTCATTGTTTACATAGCCTATTGAAATGACGTCACAAGTTTGTCTCAGTCTCGAGCAATCTAGGTCAGGAAAATCAAGTCAGTGAACCTCCATACACTTCGAGACGAGATCGAGAGAGACGATAGAGAGAGAGAGCGGGAGAGAGAGAGATAGAGAGAAGGGGATAAAGAGAGACAGAGAGAGAGAGAGAGAGATAGAGAGAGGGGATAAAGGGAGAGAGAGAGAGAGAGAGATAGAGAGGGGGATAAAGAGAGAGAGAGAGAGACGAGAGAGAGAGAGAGAGAGAGAGAGAGATAGAGAGAGGGGGATAAAGAGAGGCAGAGAGAGAGAGAGAGAGACGAGAGAGAGAGAGAGAGAGAAGGGGATAAAGAGAAACAGAGAGGGGGGTAACGCCCACTTGACACAAACTAGGTCATTTCGGGACTAAGATTTGGTTCAATTTTATTTCAATAATTCGCTTGCGCATAGTGGGTCTTTAGCAGTGGGAGGACATCGGAGGACCCAGAAAAAACCCACGAAGTAACTTTCAATACACATAGATATGGAGGGACGTACATCAAAAAATGAAATGACCGGGCTAAAGAAGACGGGCATACATAATATAGAGTTTGCGATGTGGTAGATTTTGCCCTGAGAGCGGCACTAATGCCTACACTTATTTCAAATTCCAATTGTTAAGGAGTCTTTTACGTGCACGGCAATGGGTAAGTAATTATAAGCTGGAGTTACACTTTTCTGCGATAAGCGTACCGTAGTCAGAACCGGTTCCAAGTTGTGAATAATTATAATAATAAATGTCCATTTCTTGCGCGCCAAATTCTATCATAGCACACTGTATGCCCAGTCGGGGCAGAACAATAGGACATTACCCCCCCCCTCTCTCTCTCTCTCTCTCTCTCTCTCTCTTTCTCTCTCTCTCTCGTGACCTAGTTTAGTTAAAAGTAAAACTATACATATGTACAGTATCCGGGTATAGTGATAAACAATAAGGTGATATCTAATTTATTATATACCTAATTACTCTTTAATCTAGATTCCGGTTACGTATAACTACCGTGTTCCTTCACCAACATCTTTTCTCCATTAATAGTAATTTCATCGAATAGCGAATAGGCGGATCCTGGTTGTTTGTACACGGCGAATTCCTGCAACCAGTTAGAAACAAGCTAAAAGTACAAATCCGGTCCCATATCAAAACACAATAATTGACCTACATGTATATCCAAAAATATTTAAAAAACACGGAAAGATCGAGTACTTTTTTTCACGATAAACGATGAGAAGACAAAAGCAGATTTCAACATTTTAAAGGGGAGAGAGATAGAGAAATGGGGTTTAACGTCCACTCAACACAAAATAGGTCATTTCGGCACTAACATATGGTTTAATTTTATTTCAATAATTCGCTTGCGCGTAGGGGTCTTTAGCAGTGGGAGGAAACCGGAGGACCCGGAAAAAACCCACGAGGTTGGACAGGCGACCCTACTCCTTGTCACGTACAACCGACTCAATGACAGACTTTATGATACAGCGCGCGCACGCTAACCATTCAGCCATCCAACCCCCCACATTTTAAAGGTGCTGAACACCTAGCACAATATTTTCCATACTATTTGTAATTAAAAAGCACGAATCAGAATTCAACATTGGTTCATTTTAATCAATATTGATGTTTTTATCTTTCCGTAATACTGTGGGATCCTAATATCCAATATTTAAAGGCTCAATACCACTCTTGTTGTAACTGAATAATATGTCTCAATCTTTATTCTGGTCAACAAATTGTACTATTTTACAATATTCCAATTAATTGATGATATAAATTTCATCTTAACACACCTAATTTAAAACATTGGAAATATTCAACTAAATGATTTGAAAAGCCTAACGTAAACCTTTTCAAATGTGACTTGGGATTTAAAAATATTTTCGAACCCTCTGGACAAGTAAAATAGGATGTAATGGATAATTTAAACAACAGGTAGGACACCTAAACATCTAGTACTTAGATAGAGATATTATTTATTTACTGGAGCTGTCAAGCCAGCAAGAGTGTTATTGTCCCTTTAAGACAGTGAAGATGGTATAAGCAGTATACGAATTGTGTATTCTATTGGTTCTGGCACCATTTGTAATGAAAAAAGAAAGACATACTAATGGCTGATTCACAAATGACAAAGTAATAATGTAAAAAAAGAGGCGCAAAAGACTGTCGTTCAAGCTCGACTGTTCACGTATTTCACGACCGTACAATAACATATCAAAAGTGAATATAAATCACTTAATATACATTCATATTGCATTAATATGTGACCCATTTTCGTCTATTTTAAGGTTCCAACAAAAAATGAGTGATGCTCCCTTTAAGGATCATGTTCGCTAATTAAGAATCTCGTTAGAAATAATGTCATTGTCATATATATGAAAATTAGAATGTTTATTACTTAGGAGAGAGAGAAATGGGGTTTAACGTCCACTTGACACAACTAGGTCATTTCGGGACTAACACATGGTTCAATTTTATTTCAATAATTGGCTGGGTAGGCGACCCTACCCCTTGTCACGTACAACCGGGGAATCGAAACCACGCCAGTTGACTAAAGGACAGACCTCCTGATACAGCGCGCACCTCCTAACCATCCCCTCCCCCCTCGTCAGAATTAATGTGAATGTTATATGTATATGAAAATTAAAATGTTAAGGAAAGAAACATTATTATGCGGGCTAATGCTTGCAGTTGCATCGGAACATGAGCAGACCTAAATAGACATTCTCCATTTTATATAAAGCCACGGAGGCTCGGTGCTTAAGGCGTTAGCTCGCTGACTTGGGGGTTTCATGTTCGACCCTTATGTTACCGAGAAGTTTCATCGGGAATTCCCGCGTGCCCCCCCCCCCCTGGTCAGTTGTCCAGGACGGAGGGTCTGGCAAGGGACAACGTATGGTCGTACAGATGGGCAAAAAACCGAGGTCAAGCGTACACATTTACGTGCACGTAAAAGAAACCTTGGTAGTTGGAAGTCGATATAAGAGTATGGCGTGGCGCCGCTGTCCGGGAAAAATTATAACCGTTTTCATTAGCCCGGGGGAGGGGGGGTGGATGGCCGAATGGTTAGCAAGCGCGCGCTGTATCATACGGTCTGTCATTGAGTCAACTGGCGGGGTTTCGATTCCCCGGTTGTACGTGACAAGGAGTAGGGTCGCCTGTCCAACCTCGTGTGTTTTCTATGGGTCCTCCGGTTTCCTCCCACTGCTAAAGACCCCTACGCGCAAGCGAATTAATGAAATAAAATTTTTAAAAAAACATATGTTATTCCCGAAATGACCTGGTTTGTGTCGAGTGGACTTTAAACCCCATCTCTCTCTCTCATTAGCCCAGTGTGTTAAACCCCATTTCATTTCCATTATATATATGGTTGATTTGTTTTGAACTAATATAATTTACATGTACATGTATGTGGGGTGTTCTCGCTTTCCCAGTAGCTATTGTTTTCCAGGTAAAATCATTGGACCAGTACCAATTAGGGTAACAATGGTGTTAAAACTATAGTCTTTTTCGTATCAATATCAACCACTTTACATAAAAGTTATTTTATTAACAAATTTAGCATGTACATATATATTTTATTAACAAATTGAGTATTGTACATGTATATTTAAAATCCGACTAAATGTGATATCGGATTTCCGTATTCATATAAAGTCGTAAAACCAGTTAATAATCTTTGTTTTTCATCATGTATTCTTCTGTTTAATGCTATGTATTTTCTTTTCTTTGGACGTGAAACGCCTCCATTTCCATATTGTAAAATTTGTATCTCTGTGTAACTTTCAACTATTTAATAAACTTATCATAAACAGTGTTCCTCGTAATTAAGGAATAAAATTAAACTGACATATGAACGAAAAATCAGACAGTGATTTATAGTTCACACATGTCATAGGTTAAATTGAACATGCAATAATTAAAACACTAATCTATAACTAATCCCTAATCCGCTTAATTAGTACGGTTAATCTGCTGGGAAAGTGAGAACAAACCAAATATGTGTGCATTTAGAAGTTAACAATCAATACAACAATATAACAATATAACAATATAACAAAAACAACTATCAGCTATATCGATATGATATAATTATCAATTTATAAAATCTTCAAATGATCTGTCATTGGGTCGAGAGGCGTGATCTTAATTCCCAGTGCGTACGTTAGAAGGAGTAGGGTCGCATTTTTCTCTAGAGGCGTGGTTTTGATTCCCAGTCTGTACGTGGCAAGGAGTTGGGTCGTCTTTCCTCAGAAAGCTAAAGACCCCTACGTGCATTCAACTTAAACTATATGTTAGTCCCGAAATGGCTTGGCTTGTGTCGAGTGGACGTTAAACTCCAATTCTCAATTTTATTATTATTATTATTATTACAGCATATTTATAGTGCGTACTTTCATATAACATGTTCAGGGACACTTTACAAAGTGACAATGTAATAATACACAAACAACTAGATTATGGACATGTTAACGGTTGTATACAGAGTCAGTCAATTTTAGGGTTGCCCTCTCTATGCCTTTACCCCACCGTCAATTAATGTCAATCTAAATCATTTAAAAGATATCTACATTCCCATCCCCTTTTAGGAAATCCAGAGATCTATGGACATTTACAATAACCTTCTGTCATAAATACACGCCATTAATATTCTGACTCTTACAATGTTAATCATTAATTTTTAAATCCGGGTTACTATTTGTTTAAAATCATGATGTAGCGTTTATTTCTCGAACAGCCTCGATTTGACTTTAATTGCGCTGACTAAACAGCACTGATAATAGATACGTCACGTTTTTGGACCGGTTTATTGTAGAATGGTTCTAGTCCCGCCCCGGATCCAGTTCTCCTATATATAAAGATGCCGGGTCTCATTCTCAATAATCAGTTGATGATTGGAGATAATCAGAGGGAGAATTCAGGTTTTTAATTATATTTCATCCAGGTTTAATAAAGCTGCGATTTAATTCATAAGAGGTTAGTTTTTTTAATCAATTATTGTTAATATTTAAATTTACACAGATTTTTTAAATTTTATTTTATCCATTATTGTTATTATTATTTTTTTTTTTTTTTTTTTTCGCGTGTTCGATCCCTGCATTGGCCGAGAAAGTTCATCCAGATTCTCCGACGTGGTTTCCCCTTGTCAGTGGTGCAGAACGGAGGGCCTGACAAGGACAGCTGTCTAGTCCTTCGGATGAGACAAAAAACCGAGGTCCCGTGTATATATTGGAATGCACGTAAAAGATCCCCTGATAGTTGAATTCGATATAAGAGTAGGCGATAGTGCCGCTGCCCGGGCAAAATTTCCCTCATAGCACACTGTATGGCGTATGCCCGTCTTCATTAGCCCAGTATAGGAGCAGAACAGTAGGACGTTAAACTCCATTTCATTTCTTTTGTTGTTTTTTTCTTATAACGTCTGTGTAGTTTGCCTTGTCCGCAGGTTTTGTTTTGTCCACAGGTTTGTTTTGTCCGCAGGTCCATCTAATATGTTTTATTTTTTGTGTGTAGGTGTAGTGTTGTCCTCCTGGACTTACTATACTAAGAGTACACACATGTATATTTAATACGCATAATAATTGTGATTTTCCCTTGTCAGTGGCGTAAGGTGGGGCCTGATAAGGACAGCTGTCTAGTCGTTCGGATGGGACGAAAAATCGAGGTCCCGTGTATACATTGGCGTGCAAATAAAAGATACCTTGGCAGTTTGAATTCGATATAAGGGTGGTTTATGGTGCCACTGTCCGGGTAAAATTTCTCTCATAGCACATTGTATGGCGCATGCTGGTCTTCATTAGCCCAGTCGGAGCAGAACAGTAGGACGTTAAATCCCATTTCATTTCATTTCAGTAGTCAAATGGCTTGGTTTCGATTCTCGCTTGTACGTGACAAGGAATAGGGTCACCTGTCCAATCCTGTGGGTTTTCTCCGGGTCCACGCACCCCCCCCCCACACACACACACACACACACACAGTGTGGTGCGGGGAACATTTTGTCAGTGCAGCGGCGCTACGGCCTAAATAAAATTATTGTGAATTCTGGTACCTCGGTTTTTTGTCCTATCTGAGGGACTACACGTTTCCTTTGCCACACCCTTCTGTCTTGCACCACAGAAAAGGAGGAGCCACGCCGGAAAGCCCGATGGACCTTTGTTTTCTCGGCCACCACGAGGCTCGAACATGAGACCTCCAGGTCAGCGAACTCCATAAATGGCCTACATTCTGTGTTTAAACAGATGATATATGGCCGCAGTATTTTAGAGTTGGACACGGTCATATTTAATATTTTGTGTAATAAGTCGAACACAAGTCTTTATTTTATTTGAGAGAGCAGAATGAAGGTAACTAGTTCTAGCATTCTATGCGATTGACTTTAATCAGCCACCTAGAACACCTTATATCACATCTCATTTTAACAAATTTATGTTCTGTTTTGTAATTGGAATGATCTTAACCAACACAATATTGTGACAAACGATGATTTCATTTCATCGATTGCCCATGCAAAATAAGGAGTAGCAGTTGTCCTGAGGTACAACGCTTGAGATTGCTTTCTTCAGTGAGTAAGGCGTTGGACCACTAACCTGGAGTTCCCGTGTTCGATCCTGGTGTCTGCCGAGAAAATTCATCGGGATTTTCACCCTTGTCAGTGGTGCAAGAAGAATGGCCAGGGCATATTCGTTGGGATGGGACAGAAATCCGTGCTCCCGTGTTTACACATTGTCGTGAGCGGAAAAGAACCGTTGACAGCTGGAATTCAATATAAGAGTAGGCTGCTGTCCGGGCAAAATCTCCCCTAGAGCACGCTGTATGACGTATGTTTGTCAGCATTAGCCCGGGCGGAGCAGAACAGTAGAGCGTAACACTACATTTCATTTCATTTGTTTTTGGATTCCATCTACCATGGGTTTGGTTGCGTGCACATACTAAAATATATACCGTTACGCTAGTCATATTCTATTGTGGGTTGGTTATTCTTTTACAGATTGCCAAGATGAAACCACCATTTAACCGATCAGAGTCCGTCGAGGTTGGTCACAGCGATGTTCCGGAGGCCTCACCCATTGGAGAAGACGCTGTGCCCAAAGACATTAACAAAGACTCCTCCAAGCTGTCACCAGAAACAATGGATGAGTATACATACGATGGTTTAGAATTAGACGTAGGGTATGTTTCCGCTTCCCCATCCAGTATCTGGATTGACGACACCGCTTCAGAATCCGGAGAATCCGCCCAAGATGACATCCGTGGAAGCAGGAGATCAAAGCAAGTGACATTTCATATCGGAAGCGATGCCAACGCCGAGAACCAGTTGAAGAAGCATATCACTGATGATCTGTCGATACATACCAATTTAAAACAAGGAGAGATAAACAAGATATTTTCTCAAGATTCTGATGGTCTCGGCATGGTTAAAGGTGACAGAGATGAAAAATCTTTCCAAGCGCCAATATTCACGACAAAATCCACTTTATACGAATCTCAGCAAGAGAACACAGAAAAGTACCCACCAGCTTCAAACGGATCTAATAAAGTTCCTTTAACCCACAAGCCTATTAAACCCGGTCGACAAATTTTACGATGGAATCTGCTGTTTAATCTTTTGGTGTGGGTGATGGTGTCTTTACCAATCTGGGTACCATTTGTATCAAAGACGGTAGCCATCTATCTTCTACCAAGTGTCCAGAGTGTTTTTGTTTTGATGTGGTTAGTCATCTGTCTTCTGGCGTCAAGAAATGTTATTCGTTTATACAGGTTAGTTCATGGTTTATCTTCTTTTATTGTGTTAAACGAATAATATTGGTTAATGATTGAGTTTCGTGTTGTAGACTTTCGAAAAAATCAATTCGTAGACAGATTTCGACATTTCTCCAAAATTTAAAATATTTCAAACTAGAACCATGTTAAGGAATGACGCTGAGCCTCCGCCTTGGTTACCGAATGACGTAAGAATATCTATGACGTACAATTTTGTATTTTACAGACACAGAAACCATGATTTCCAGAAAGATATCGTTGAATCATCCGATATTCATCATCTCTTCATCATCAGCTGCTACAAGGAACCCGTTAGTCTTATAGCCCAAAGCGTCAACACCATCGCCAACCAGAAAGACGTCCATAACATAACCATGACCGTTTCCTTTGAAGAAAAGACTCCAGATTTGGACAAAAAGATCAAGAAATTGACCAAGAGGTTTCAAGATTCAGGTTTCGCTCGACTACTTTTTACTGTTCACCCATTTGGCTTGGAAAATGAAATTCCCGGAAAATGTTCCAATGCCAATAATGGTTTTCGAAAGTCAGCGGAGATTCTGCAAAGGGAAATGGGCCTGAGCTTTGACCCTGACCGTATCATAGTAACCACGTGCGATGCAGACAGTCAGTTTTCACCAAATTACACAGGGGCTTTAGCGTCTAGATTTATCGCCGCTAAAGATAAGCATAATACCATTTATCAGGCCCCTTTGTTTTATAATTGGGGGTTAGATGGAGCTTCATTTATCACCCGAGTAACGGGTTTAGTTCGATCAACCCTCATGCTAGGAGCTTTAATACCATTTAATATAAATTCTATGAGTATATTTTCATTCTCTTTACGACTGTGTATAGATGGTAATTTCGTTCATCCAGCCTATCAAATGGACGATATCATATGTTTAATTAGATGGATGGGCGTGACCGGAAGAAAAATTAGAATCTGTTTTTTACCGGTCCCTGTGCTCAGTGGTCCGACGACCGGTTCGACAGTAGAATTAGACATCATGGAATGGGCCAGACAAGCTAGGCGATGGACAATTGGTGCTGCCGAGGTTTTCCATTATTTTGTTGTTAAATCTCGTAAAATGCCCAAACTACCGGCTTTATCTTGGGGTTTAAGTTTTTTAATTTACTATGGTATATTATTATGTTCAGGTTCGTTATATAGTTTATCTATGTCATTATCAGTATATTTTATTATTGGCGATAGTTTCGTACCATATTATGTATCCTATTGGCTCTACGCTCTCGCCGCTACGCAACAATTCTGTTTCTTGATTGTTTTCATATTAGACGTATTTACTACACGTATTTTAAATGTTAAAGAACATATTTCATTCATCAGAAACGTTTTTCAATGGATTATGTCCCCTGTCGTTCTACTGTGTTATTCATTGGTTGAATTTTACGCCCTGCACGAGGTGGCCATTCGAGGCAAGAAGGTCTGCAAACATGGCGCGTCAAAGAAAGATAACTTGAAAACGTAGTTTGGTACATAAAATGACTCTTTTATCAAACACGATTTCTGATCGTCCAAAGGGTTGTTATTATCATTCTAGATTCTGATTGTGACGTCATATGTATAGCGAGTACCATATATAGACCGGAGGTCTCGATTCCTGCTCGAATGCCAATCGACTCTGTTTCGTATCCGAAAATTTACTTACCAAATCGATTCCAGTGATATTCGACATTTGTGAATTCTGGTCGGATAGATCCGAGAAAGAAATTGAATACAAATGAGACCAACTGTTAAAAAAAAACAAAAACACGTATTTATATGGAAATATTCGTATCAATGTCGTAGAAGTAAAAGACGAAAAACACGTGATAAATGTGGATATAACTGTTATTAGGCAGAAGCTATCGCGAGTAACAATTATTGCTTTGTGATATATTTATGTCTTTCAGGGGGGGGGGGGGCATATCCACGTCAGATTAAACTAAACTATGTAAGAATGCCGCCCTTTCATTGGCTAAGATCTGAAATTTGTATTAGGATGATAACCCTCACCCAATGAAGAGGGAGCACCCTTTAAATAGTTTAGCTAAGGATTTCATGAAGAAGTCCCAGGGTCGTTTATTGTTGTTTATTACAAATTTCACGTCCAATGTTAGTATGGACAGGTTGATTTAAATAACATATATTTTACATATAAAGTAGACCCCATGTCTATATTGTATAGATTTTAAACATTCATCAAAACCGAGTGATTCCACCGAATTTGTAAATATGTCTTTTATATAATTATATATTAATTTGTTGTTTAAATGGGTTTTTTTTAATAAACTGTTTATTATAAATATACTATAAAGGTACTACCGGTGACGAAATCTTTGAAATATTTCGGAGGTTCAGACTTATAGAATTTTAAAAACATTCATCAAAGCCGAGTGATACCAACGAATTTGTAAATATGTCTTTTATAGAATAATAGAGTGATATGTTTTTTTAAATGTTTATTTTAATAAAATGTTTATTATAAATATATACTATAAAGGTACTACCGGTGACGAAATCTTCGAAATATTTCGGAGGTTCAAACTTAAATAAAGGTTATTTTTTTTACATTATTTAATATTATATTCATCAAAACCGAATGACACCAACGAATTTGTAAATATGTCTTTTATAGAATTATAGAGTGATTTCTTGTTTAAATGTTGTTTAAATATATACTATAAGGGTACTACCGGTGCTGAAATCTTCGAAATATTTCGGAGGTTCAAACTTAAATGAGGGTACTACCGGTGATGAAATCTTCGAAATATTGCGAAGGTTCCAACATAAATTCGGGTACTACTGGTGATGAAATCTTCGAAATATTTCGTAGTTTCAAACTTAAATGAGGGTTATTTTTTTACATTATTTAATATTAAAGCTGCACTATGTAAGACTTAAATCAGGTTCAGACATTTGTTCACACGACAAGCCTTTAATCAGTTTTCTAGACCAATCGGATTCAGTGTAAATTTCAAAATTTAACGATAAACTGGATAATCTAGACTTATCTTCGTTAGATCTTGTCAAATCGCCAAACACCCATAAATAGACTCAAAATATAGTAATTTATTTTGCATTATTTATTTGTGAACAATTAATATTATAGCAAGAACGTCCAGTTCTTTATGTAAATCTTACATAATGTACCTTTAACCATGGTTTATCTAGCTAGATATTTTGTTATATTTATAGATATGGTCTATAGCTAGTCTTCGTGGTTTATTTAGCTAGCTTAAAACTGTTATATTTATAGATAGATTATATAGCTAGCTAGTCTCCTTATTTTTGAATTTTTTAATGTTGAAATGATCATGTTTATATGTTTGTATTTTTTTATGAAGAATAAAATACTTGTGTTGTGTTTTCTTAGTTTTTAATTTGTTAGTTTGGTTAGAAATAAAAATACGCCGTATAGTGTGCAATGAGGGAATTTTGCCCGAGCAGCGGCACTATGGCCTGCTCTTATATCGAATTCCAACTGCCAAGGGATCTTTTACGTGTACGCCAAGGTATGCACGGAACCTCGGTTTGTTTTTTGTCCCATACGAACGACTAGACAGCTGCCCTTTTCAGGCCCCCCGTCCTACACCACTGACAAGGCGAAACCACGCTGGGAAATCCCGATGAACGTTCTCGGTCAATGCAGGGATCAATAAACGATCTCCAGGCTAGCGAGCCAGCGTCTTAGCCACTTAGCCACTGTGGCTCCCTGATTTTGTTAAGGCATTTGGAAGTAAATGCATAGATGAAAAAAATGGGGTTTAACGTCCTACTTTGCTCCACCAACCGAGCTAATGAAGACAGGCATACACCATGTATCTGCTATGAGGGAACTCTTGCTCAGGCAGCAGCCCACTCCTCTGCGAATTTAACTGTCATGCCAACGCCAAAGTTGACATTGGACCTTGGTTTTTCGTCCCATCCGAAGTACCAGGCACCGTTCCTCCAGGGTCCTCTGCCCTGCACTAAAAGCAACGGGGGAAATCAAGAATAACTTATTCAGTCAATACTTGGGTCGAATCCGGGACCTTCTGGTAAGTGAGCCACTGTGGTCCCCTATCGCCGTGTACTATAGAACAATCCGCCTGTCGACAATCCCATCCAGATGTTAAGATAGGTCAAGATAAATTTTATTGCCTAAAAACACCCACGGTGAGTAATGTCCATAGATAACTCTATTAAAACAAACAAAACGACGTATATATCTATTGTTTTATGGTCGAGAGCGAGACATTAAGTAATATATTGAAACAAGAGAACCGTGAGGTCCGAGTGTTTTTACAATATATTACGCATTGTCTTAAACTCGAGACCATTAAACAACTTAAAATACAGACTCTTGCACGTGCTTTGCAATGAAATACGTCACTTGGGCTCAATATTTTAACTAGTTACACTTGGCACATTGCCCGTACGATTATTTGAAATATACTATTCAAAAAAAGTAGGGGATATTTGATTTTTAAGTGTTATTAAAGTCACCTAATGAAACTGACGAAGAAACAAATGACAAAATGAAATGAAGTTCACATTCATCGATTTATTCCAAATGATCGTTAGACTAAGTAAGGCACAGACTGACCATTATAAGGGTAAAATGATACCCGGGGTCAAACAGCAAAGGTACCACAGCATCACAACCAAGTCAGTAACGGGTAAATCCTCCTCTGTTTGCCAAACAAGCATTGATCCGACGTGACATACTCCTAATGAGACGTCTAAGGTCATTTTGGTCCAGATTGTCCCATTCCTGTTGCAACGCAGCAGCAAGTTCTTGGACATTGGCAGGACGTTGTTGACGTTGACGTAACCTCTGTCCAAGCATGTCCCAGACATGCTCGATGGGGGAGAGATCGGGACTCAGTGCTGGCCAAGGTAATGTGGTGATGTTCTGTTGTTGGAGGTAACATGTAACGATCCTGGCCCTGTGGCATCTTGCGTTGTCATCCTGGAAGATGAAACGGCGGCCATGACGTCGTGCGAACGGCACAACATGGACTGCCAAGATGTTGTCCCGGTAGTGCTGGCCTGTAACACGCCCTGCAACAACATGTAAAGCCGTTCTTCCAGCAACAGTGATGCCTCCCCACACCATAACAGAACCACCCCCAAATCGATCATGTCTGATGACGTTAACGTCTTGGAAGCGCTCGTTTCGACGACGCCACACCCTCCTACGTCTGTCCAAAAAATCAACAGTGAACCTTGACTCATCTGAAAACATCACATTGCTCCAGCGTCGATTATCCCAGTGTTGACGATCCCTACACCAACGACGTCTTGCCTGAATGTGATGATCTCTCAAACAATGGATCACGCGAGGACGTCGGGCGCGAAGGTGACCCCTATGCAGTCGATTCCGAATCGTCTGGCCACTCACTCTCACACCAGTGTCTGTTTGAAGACGAGCGCTGATCTGATTTGCTGTGATGACACGATTTCTCAAGGCCAAGGTACGGATAAATCGATCCTGGGCTTGAGTTGTCGCCCTTGGTCGACCTGAGCGTGGTCTGTCCTGTACAGATTGTGTATCACGGTATCTGGACCATAGCCTGCTTATGACGGACTGAGAAACATTCATCGTCCGCGCCACAGCCGCCTGTGTTGTGCCGATCTGTAGCATGCCAAGGGCACGTAACCTTTCATTTTGGGTAAGCCGACGCATATCAAAATTTGTTTTCTGGTCACTAAAACAATTAAACTGATGTTTCCACTCTGGAATTCAATGCCACAATGACTGTAACATTCAAAGTCAGAGTCGTGCAAATCTTGGGTTGGACCCCCATGATGATCCCAAGCATCACCTGCATTCCATGCGGTAGCTATTGGTGCGTTTGGGCGTCACATGTAACTGGAAATGTTTCTTCTGTTAGGTTCTATAGTGACTTTTTTCGTAGTCATTTGCATATTTTAGTAGTATGCCCCCAAAATCAAATATCCCCTACTTTTTTTGAATAGTATAATAGTACGCCAACATCAAAGGATGACGTCACATGAGTATTCTAAATATATATATATATTACACACTCAGTAATAGGAGATATATAACATAGTCAGTTTGAATAACAAGGGGCGGCGACTGACCTAACTCATGCGCTTTAGAACATAAGGTCTGTCATTGAGTTAAACAGACTTTATACTAGATCTGCCAATTTCACGTCTTTCTTTGGGCCCTAAATATTATATATATTAGATATTCATCAACATGACATAACCCTAATCAACTGTCGATGCCATTGAATGGCTCCGATTTTAAGTAGATTAGAACGGTTCGGCCATTTATTGATTTAATTTAAAAATAGATATTCATCAACATCACAAAACCCTTATCAACTGTCGATGCCATCGAATGGCTGCGATTTTAAGTAGATTAGAACGGTTCGGCCATTTATTGATTTAATTTAAAAATGGGGAAACTAGGTCGACTCGAATGACCAGTACGGTGGTAACAATAATAAACAATCAATGCTCACATCTTGTCATAACTACAGCCATTGATAACTTAGCTCAAAATAAAGGTTATAGCGAGAACGATCTGCTCTTCATTTAAATCCTATATAATTCACCCTTAAGTGGAGTGGTTTCTATTTCCAGCTTGTACGTGACAAAGAGTAGGGTCACTTGTCCAACCTCGTGGATTTTGTCCTGGGCCTCATGTTTCCACCTACTGCTTAAGACCCGAAATGATCACATTTTTTTTAGGTGGACGCCATTTTACCACCGACATCTAAAATTTTGATTGATCTGAACGAGTGGACGAGCTCGTAACCGTTGTACCTGTAGATCGAGTCTTAAATATGCTTGAGAATTTATATCCAGACTCTCGTTTGGTCAAGAGACGACGAGTTCTGGTGTTGAGGCTGAACGACAAGAAAATAAAAACACCCTGAAGGCCGTTTAGTATGACGTACACATACCACAGAGCTGGTACGTCACCAAATGATGCGATGAAGCCGAATATCCACGAGAAACCCATCACTGACGACAACTTGATGTAAATGATGCATCGTTGACGATCTCGTTTTCTTCCCGTTACTTCCTCGCTTGTTGCCATGGTAATTTCAATGGAATACAACGTTAAGCTGAAGCAGACGATATTAAAGGTGAGGGTCAATGCCACGGGAACGAAGAAAGTGTAAATGTAGCCATCTTTATCCGCCATCCAAGTGCACGAGACTACGCCATATCTCACGTGCATGACACGTTCTTCAGGGATGACGTCCATGACCAACAACGGAATAACTATGAGACCTGGTATGACGACACTTAATGTGAAGTATATCCAGAAACTACAGGGACCACGCCTGGTCAAGCTGGGATGGAACGTAACAAGCATGTTGTAAGCTTGGCAGCTCATCCACATGAAAACGCTCAACCATATAAAATGTGTGCAAGCCGCTAGGTATTGGCAGACGTTTCCGCTGAATTTTGGTAGAAACATCAAACCTTGGCCCAAGATCAGAGACGCGGCCAGACCCATAGTGAGTTTCCCTGGTAGATTTCTCAGTTCCTTGTACAACACGTAAAATAATAACGTCACCAGCAAGAACAAAATGGATAATCCCGAGCATACCCAAGCGAGATAACTCTGGATATAGTCCATGGTAAAGAACGATAACTCCATTGACGGATTATAACAAACTAAAGCTGTAGAATCATTTCTAAGCATAAAATCGGCCGCGTCGAATTTGATATTTTTGGCATATAATTCCAGTTCGCCTTTATCAGTGACGATATATTCATCAGAGTCGTAACTGTACAACGGAAACGTGCAGTTTTCAATCGTCGGGATGTACCCAGTGTCGTTTGTGTACAAGCTGGTCTCGCACACACAAATTTGATTAAATTTGATACCGATTTCAGCATCTGTTCTCATGGTGATAATGAATAGTATATTATCCACAGGGTACAGCAGATTGTCAACTTTGGCGAAAAGTTCATCATGCAAATAATAAACATCGATATCATTTATACACGTCCAATCGTCCTCACTGCAAGAAGAGTTTACCGTGGATCTATTCAAATAATTAGTAACTGTGACCTCCATGACGGACTCTTCCGGCAATTCACTGTGCGACTGGGACAGGGTCCCTAGCAACTTCGACACCGTCTTTTCCGACAATGAAACCATTATTCTGAATTTCTGAACTTCGTTGAAACCTCTATCAGAATCAAGAATCCACATAGCACCACGTGGAAAATTTTCGAACCATCCCATGATTACCATATTTGGTGAGAAATATATATTCCATGGGTTTTCCCATTCAGTGTAGGTAAGATTGATATGTATGCTACTGGAACCTGCAGGATACGGTTGGGATTCTGGCGGGACGAAAACAACGCTTTCCTTAAGGCAGAGGCCCTTCTTAGCATACATTCCAACCGGACACACAAACCGACGACACCTGAGAAACAAAACATCGAAATTCTCATCGTCTTTACAGATCTCGCTCGATTTAAACAAGCCGTTGTTAATACGAACTTGAACTTCCGCTTCAGTGGGCAACGAAAAGAGCTGTAGTATACTGGATTCGGAATTACTTGGCGGCAGACACCAATCGCGTTCATAGGCAGTTACTCCAAATTCACACACTGAACATTCCAGGCTATTTGACTCGTTTTTCTGCTCCAGACAAATAGTGCATTCATTGGTTAATATTTTCACCAAATCTGATTTAACCTCCTCGGTACAACCCTCAGTAATTTCAATCCTTGAATAGGCGTACCAACAACTTCTGTTGGATATTCTACTTTCGATTTCCTCCCATGATTTGGCTGCTGCGTTATCACATTGTATTTCTGAATTCCACGTAACAGGTTTAATCGTGTTGTCATGACAACGAGCACAAAATTTGTTCTGGAATACCATGTCCATTAAACCATTGCTATAGCTGACAGGAGGGTAGGGAAACTGTGGGCTTTCGCAGTTATCAATCAAAGTTTGATCAGTTGTTTCCCTTGGACATGTTTTTATAACAGTTCTTCTGATTGGTGTACCGAATGAGTTTGATCTGATTGTTCCACATTCACTGTTTATCAACACGTAACGTAAAAACTGACCGACAGATGACGTATTGGTTGTTGACGGCGCGTTCCGAGGGAAACCAACCATCTCCACGGAATCACGCTGTTCATGTTGCAACTGTGTCATTTCTTGTAACAGATAATCAGCACAGAACCAGTCCAGGTAACCATAGAGATAGCATTGGCAGGAAGTAGTATTCCGTTCGAATAATGGCACTCGGTAGCATACTTCTCCACATACAACTGTTTCCGTCCAACAAACTGGAAGAAGAAAAAAAACTGTTAAAAGTTTGACATTAATTTTATCAAAACCTACACTTCCTCGCATTTCTCGTATAAGACTCTCGGCAGCGTCAGTCTCCCAAACAGAGTTGTCTTCCCTTGCAGTAGAGAATGATTCCGCGTATGCTGACCCACTGGGGCCACGGTGACTCACTAACCAGAATTCCAGGGTTAAATCCCGGCGTTAGCCCACAAAGTTCCGCGGGATCTTCCAGCGTGGTTTCCTTTTGTAAGTGGCGCAGGACAGAAGGCCTGGCAAGGAACAGCGTCAAGTCGTCCGAGTGGGGCGAACAATCCTAGAGCCTGTGTACACGTTGGTATGCACGTAAAAGAACCCTTGACAATTCAAGTGCTATATGGGCAATATTGCTCTCATAGCACATTGTATGACGTATTCCGAGGTTCCTTCCGGGGAATCATCTTGGACATTCAGCTCCCAGTTCATGCTTACTCATACTAGAACGCCTGGTTTCACTTTTTATTAGAGAAAATGAAATAACTCGACTGGTGACCTTGCTGGTGCCCTATACTTCCGACGTTTTGTTCGTGAAGTAGCTTTGAGTTTTAAGGCTCATTTCGATTACTCTCATACGTGAATAGAGATAATAATATGTAGGGTATGTTTTTATTTGTGTATAACAAAATGACACCCGAAACCATAAAATACATGACTCGTGTACTGAGTATAAAATGCTCACTGTGTCTTCAATATTGAAAACCACACGATATGTTTTTTTTACTAAATAATGGGGGGATTTTTTTACTAAACCAATCCATGGCCTAAGCCGCAAATGGAAAGATTGTTACATCATATTCTAAAAACAGGAATAAGCTTCGGCTATGCTATACTTTTGTCTTGTCTGTGATATCACTTTTGTGAACGCGGTCGTTAACGAAACAAGGTACTACTACTACTCAATATTTGATATTATGATCCCATATTTTCACCGCACGATTACAACATGAATATTGATTGAAATGGACCAATACTGAATTCCAATTCGTGTTTTTAATTTCGAATATTATGGAGGATAGTGTGTTAGAGATTTAATTAGCTTCTTTAACATTCTCGGGGTGTATAATCTGATTAAACTACTGATATATATATACTTCCGATGGCCTACACTACATGAAGATATGACCGGTTGTAATGGGAGGTCGCGTCAGAGTCATACTAGCTTCTTTGTCCCTATGACGTCAGACATTGATTAATCAACCAGCGTTGACGTTACTAGTGGTTTACCCACAGTTCCGTACATCGCACGCCAAGAACACGCCGTAACAGACCATTTCACTGACTAATCGCTCACATTAACCAGAACGCGGCCTATATAACAACTCTTGCAGATCTGTGTGGTGAAGACAAGTAAAACGAAATTTTGAACTATAAAAACGAAACGAAAAAGGGTCTGCGGGGTGTAAGTTTAATTTAAATGCTTCAGAAAATCAAGAACGTAAATTGTGTCTAAAACCAACAAGAGTTTCAGTCAGGTTATATTTCGGCTTTGTTGCCATTGGCTACATGTTTCATGAAAGATCAAAATCAAAGTCCTAATCCTATCATTGTCTTTGCAATTGTTTTGCGATTATGTTCTTAACTTTGGCATTATATGTAAAGAACAATCGTGGACCATATTCCGAACCTTGTGGGACACCATATCGAAATGAACTGAAATGGGGTTTACTTCCTATTGTTCTATTCCGATTGGGCTAATGAAGACGGGTATACGCAATACAGTGTGCTATCCGAGCGAAACTACGGCCTACCATTAAGTCGAATTCCAACTACCAAGGGATCTTTTACGTGGGCCCTAGGTTTTTCTTCATATCTCTCTATAGGATTAACGTTGTCGGCTAACGTAGGGACATCCAGGATATCGAGTCAGCGTCTTACCCATCAGGCCATCGTGACTCCAAGACAACATAGCTAAAAAAATTACCCGTTAAAATATGTTACTTACGTGCGCTTGGGACCTCCAGAATACTGATGACTAAAACGGCCATGAACAATTCCTTTCTAAACATCACTTAAATGCTGTTAATCTGCGTTGTTCGGAGAACGTTGTTCTTGTCTGTGAATCCACTGGACTTCAATAATGAATACACAAAGATATCAGACCGATGAATTCTCTGTCAACGTATTTCATGAATCCGATTTGTAGAGCCTAAACCTTAATTGATGAATGTATCAAGGCCTACTCTGGTATTAGGTGTGTAACTTGTAGAACTCTTACTGCTCCGTCCACCATGTATTTATACCGGTTTAAACTAAGGAGTGAAACTGGTACTGTTCTGTTCGCCGTTTATTACGGCTTAAACTGAACGTTGGACCACTTACTACTCCGGCTTAAACTGAGGGGTGAAACTAGTACTGCTCCGTCCGCCGTTTATCACGCCTTAAACTGAATGTTGAAACTCTTACCGCTCCGGCTTAAAATAAATGTTGAAACTATTACTGCTACGGTATAAACTGAGGTGGGAAACTGTTACTGCTCCGTCCACCATTAATGTCGACGGAAGGTTACTGCTCGGTTTACCATTTATCCCGACTGAGCCTAAAGGTGAATTGGAATAACAGAAAAACCTCATCCACATTCATACAGCACTCTGGGTTTGATTTCAGGTAAACAAACCGATAGTAATTAAAATCTAGTCTCACAACAATATATTTACACAGAGCAATACAAATTGAAATCGATGATTAATACCTGTTCTAATTCCCGGCGGGATAATTATTTGGACATTAGGGCCAACATTGTAAACGATGATATTAATGCTATTCTGAACACAGAGAACTATCTACTCTATTTCGAGACTAGAGCTCTGCACTAAATAGCCGCCATATCCAAAACATTGTTAGACTGTTTTCTTATGCAGTTGTACTCCGGTAGACATCTGTTATACGCATTTACTGACTCTGTATACAATCGTTAACATGTCCATAATCTTGTTGTTTATTTATGATTACATTATATGAAATGAAATGAAATGAAATGGGTTTAACGTCCTACTGTTCTGCTCCTATACTGGGCTAATGAAGACGGGCATACGCCATACAGTGTGCTATGTAGGAAATTTTTCCCGGGCAGCGGCACTATCGCCTACTCTTATATCGAATTCCAACTGCCAAGGGATCTTTTATGTGCAGTCCAAAAATGTTATATGAAAGGGCGCACTATAAATATGCTGTAATAATTATACACAAAAAGACTAATTAAACTTTTTTCCATTTAATTAAATGGAAGCAGAATAAATACGTCTCAGAATTAGTGTTTTTGACTAATATGATCGATTTAAAACTTAAAATGTCGGTAAACTTGCTTAGTGTCTGTTCTCTGAAGCGAAGGTTATTGTAGACCGAGTAACTTACCTGAATACGACCACGTCACGTGGATTTATTTGTCCAGACGGAGACGTGTAATGGTGGCAGTGAAAATTAACGACCATTACACAGATGGTCGTGTATCAAATATTAATTATGAAGAATAAAATAATGGCGGGAAATAATAGCGCCTTT